GAGGGGCCCAGCACACACTGGGCCGAATCCTAGCTCTGTCCTGAGTCACTATCCTCCCTGCCTCAGTTCTGCCCACACAGGGCTGGAACAAGCAGACACTTTACAAGTTTTTAAGGAACCTCCAGGATACTGGAAGCAGCACCCGCCCACAGGGAGGGCCGTGGGGTCAGCTGCACTTGTCTCCTTGTCTTTTTCTCGCCTCTTTGCTGGATGAGGAGAAGTCCTAGCAGGGCCCTGGCTTGTCCCAATTCTCATCCCCTCTCATGGCCCAGCAGGGGGTGGTGTCCAGGCTGGACTCTGTCCTCTGCTCCTTCTGGGCACCCTCAGGCCCTGCACCTTGGCTGCCTGGACACTGTCTTCCAGGGGCCTCTGTGTGCTTCACCACGCACCTGGCATTCCTCAATTCTGGGCTAATCCAGTGCCTTCTGGCCCTGGGCCTCACACCGACTCCGTGCTGAGTGGAAGTGCACTGATGGACATGCTGGGCCTCCTGGACTGTCTGGGGGAGCCCGATAACCCCGTCTTGCTCATGGCCCAGAGAGACCAAAGTGGTGAGAGGGTGTGTCTCCATTCATGTGGATTTGCTCAGAGATTCTTAACAATATGAGGGACAAAAGGATGACATGAACACAGAAGAGCTGGGTGGAGGGGATGTCAGCAGAGCATGAGGTGGGGGCGAGCCCGGGCTGGTCTCATAACCCCCTCAGCCTTGACTTTCTCATCTTTAAAGTGGGACAGACTATTGTGAGGTGAGCGGGATCCTGACCCATGGCCACTGTCCTACACGCCTAAGAAAGAGAAGCTCACTGACTCCTCGTGGAAATTTGTGGGGCAGGGACAGCCGTTGTCACCCATTCCTGCAGAAGAAGTAACTGAGGCACAGAGAGGACAGGTGAGGTGACCACCCCAGGTTACAGAGCCCAGGCCATCTGGTTCCAGTGTCCAGGCTCATGATCGGTGCCCACTCTGGGTGTCCCCCCTCCCTTCACCCTCCACTGGGACCCACGGCCGCAGCCTCATCTCAGTGTGATTGTTCATGGGGAGCAGGGAGGGGGCACTGAAGGCCCGTTTCTCTGAGCACTGCTTTCCCAGGAGGATCAAGGGGTTGGTTTTATTCACTGCTGGACACCCAGGCCTGGGCCCAGGCCAGCCACCCTGCAAGGCCTGAATCAATGATTATTGAGTAAATACATGAACATCTGCATGTAGCTGCATAGTGCCCCATTTCCTCATGTTCACAGCACACCTGGCTGCACGGCTGACACTTCTTGTCATCAGGCCTCTGCCAGGGACAGTCAAGGGGATCAGAGCTGCTCAGCTGGGGACAGGGAGCCTCAGGGGCCCTGTGGCTGTCCCAAGCCTCTCCTGGGCTGTCCCATGACAATCCACAGGGAGGCCCAGCCAGCTTCCAGGAGCAGCAATGAGGGCCTCACCCCAGGGGTGTGGAGTAGGTGTTGAGTGACTCTGCATCTGACGGGGCCCTGGGGGTCAGGCTGCTTTCAACATCCATTCCAGGCCTACACCCCTGCTGGCAGCATGGAGCTGGTCATAAAGGACACAGGCCATGGGGCCAAGGTTATAGCAGGTCCCTGTTCCCTCTCTGTGCCTCAGTGTCTTCATCTGTAATGGAGAACTAGTAACAGGGCCATGGAAGGGCTCACTGAGATCCTGCTCTGTGGCCTTGGGTAGACACTGCCCTCCTTGTACCTCAGTGTCCTTGTCTGTAACACAGAACTAGTAGCATTTTTCTTAGCCCCTTTGGCACATTTTTCTGAGTCACTTTCCATATTGGGCCCAGGGCTCTCACAGAGCTCACAGATTGGAGAGGTAATCAGAGTGATGTCCCAGCTCTGGGGGTGCCAGGGGAGGCCAGAGGGGCTGCAGGAGGGACTTGGAATCCAGAAGAACTTCATGGAGGAGGTGAGGTCTGAGCTGTGTCTCCAAGGATAAGCTGTCATCTAGCC